GTACTAATGAGCTGAAATCCAGCCCCCGGGTAAGCGTGGTACTCGCATACAGGCCCCCCAAAATTTTTCCCGCGCAAATTCATAACTCGGGGTTTGAGAAGCTAGAAAGCTGAAATTTTAGGGGAATGTCCCCTGTCCAAGCAGGTGCTAATGAGCTCAAATCCAGCCCCCAGTTAAGCGTGGTACCCGCGTACGGGCCCCCCAAAATTTTTCCTGCGCAAACTCATAACTTGGGGACCCAAGAAGCTAGAAGGCTGAAATTTTAAGGGGATGTTCCCCGTCCAAGTAAGTCTTGACGAGCTCAAATCCAGACATCGGGCATACGTCGTACCCGCGTTCGGGCCCGTGGAAGTTTTTTCCAGTAAGTTGCTAACTCAGGATCCAGGAAAACTAGAAAGCTGAAATTTTAAGGGGGTGTTTCCTGCCAGTTCTGGCAACCAATCTTAATTAGTTTAGCTTGAAGCATTTGCCGAAAAAACTGATTCCGATAGTGACAAAAATTGCGAGAACTCTGCAAAAAACGCATCTTCGCACGGGCAGCCCGTGCGTTGGCCAATTTTAATTCTTTTCGGATGTTTCATTGCGAAAAATCACCACTCACCAGAATCGGCAAGGTAATTAGTATGGAGCATTCAATATTATTAGGATTTATCAGCCAGACTGCCCTATCTGCGGAAGAAAACGCTTTATGGGTGCATTATCAGCTGGGATCATCACACCAGCATTCTTTGTTCTGTACCGTCAAATCAGTTATTGCAGATTGATAAGGTATCCGAGGGAAAAGCAGTGTCACTGCTCATACATTTTATGATCACATTTTCGAGCGCAAATAGCTGGGCACTTGTGCGCGATAATACGAAAATTTGCACTGTCCTAAATCAAATGTGCAACAAAACGCTGAGTGCAACAGTTGGCGAACAGTCACGATTTGTTCAGCTTTCGGTTTCTTTTGTTTTTCATTGGTTTGGAACCGCTTTTCTTTCTTCGACTCGTTTTCCAAGGCTGTGTCTGGTGAAGGGTATCATCAGACGCAGCGCGGAGGGCTCTTTGGCTGGGATTCAAAAAATTTTGAACAGATTCAAGTTCACTTAATGATCAGGAGCGTTTTGACCTTTCTCTTGATGAATACTATTTCAGGAGGTGCTTAATAGAATGGCATCAGATGGACGGCTTCTCCTCGGCGCTAATGCTTTTAATGGACTTTTCAATGTACTGTTTAGGTATTGGCACTGTTAGTATCTTTTTGTGCACTACAAAATGCGCTTTTATATTAATTTGCTGATAGAAGTTAGCAGCAATCAACGATTATGCATTAGCGCAAGATAGGCGTCAGCAATTTGCAGCACATTCTCGACTAATTGTATTGCTCTCCAAGATTAACGTTTAAGTAAATCTTTGAAGAATATATCGGGAAACAGAGCTGGTGACAAAGGGAACTAAGAACGGGTCCTCTCAAAACACAGCTCCACTCACTGAAGCAAACACCCAGAAGAAATGAAGGCT